TGAATGAGCGGTCGAATGGTCATCCTCTCAATACCGCGTGCGATGCGAGCATCTTGATTTGAACCTGCAAATCGTTCCGCATTGGCGATAATCGCGAGCTCTATGGGCGCACCGTTCCAAGAGACGATCTGCACACCCGGCTCAAACGGGGGTTGGGAAAATCCGCCAAGCAAATGCGCTACGAGATATTTGCACTCTCCTTGTTCAAAATAGGGCTCTACCAGAAACGGTACGAACGCCGTCTTCTCCGCATAAGGTAGCGGGAGGACATAATTGGTGTGCAAGTCTCTCACTGACGTGAAGATCTTAATCATCTCTCGGTGAAAGGCGAGATCCGAGAATTCGCCCTCGATATCTGCGCTTTGAATTTTTTGTTTCAGCAGATTTAGAGCCTGAACGGGCCGCACCGCATGCATGCTTTCTTTAAGTGGCAAGTGAACATAGTTCTCTTGAATTAATAGCAGTGCCTGCTCGACCAACGTCGATTTTTCACCTCGAGAGAGCTCGCTGGCCGTTTTTCGAAATTNAGCGTATTCTTCGCCATTGTGCCCTCGATCCTTAAGCGTCACACTAAACAACTTTAACGAATCTTACGCCTTTCGTCGATCTAATATTTGGCACTATTTCAATTTTGTCTTTTTATAATTGCGCCAAGATCATTATGAAATAAAAACTCTGATCATGCCTGACTTGAGGCGAGAATATCAACTCGGCCGAGATCCAACAAAGTGGCGAGATTCGCGCGCGTTCATCATGTTTCGCGTTAGCAAAACATCAGGCGGCAATCGAAGCTACTTGGCCTTTCCGAGCCCAATCTTTTTAGCAAACTTCGAGCGCCGTTCAGCATACTCGGGCGCGNTCGATAAGATCCGTTTTCAAGATTTTTTCTTCTGCAGGGTCCATGTGCATTTTCCTCAGCTCTTTTATGTTTAGTCGCAATGCAGTGCTCAATCGCTGACCAGGCTTGGTCATCGCAGAAATAGCGTTTTGTAGATTGATGCTATTAAAACAGACCGAAGGTGCTACTTAAACTAGAGTTGATTGACAGTCGGACAAGCTAGCCTCGAACAGAGCATTCATCACGAAATTCAGCCGGTGCAGATTTTTCCCACCACATAAAAATCAAAACAAAATTCCGTTGATCTGAAATATAGATACATATAATAAACGATCAACAGAAATGGGAGTAATATGAAGCGAACATTTTTTATTGGTGATTATTTCCGTTCTGCGGCTAGCGACACACCTAGTTTCAGAGAGCCAAAGAAATGTGCGTGCGTTCTGGACGACAAATAGCTCATATGAATCGTCTTTTTTGCCTGCTTGCCGCGCCAGAGAAATACCTAGCACTCGCTTTTGTTTTGGCCGCGGAGTGGCCGGCGAGGGCAGATGTATTCGAGTATGGCACGAACGGGTCGGTTACAGAGCATACTTTCGCCGAGCATGAAGAACACCGGTCCGGGCGTGAGAGTTTGAACGTTGCGTACACGGCATATTTGCCTCCGGTCGCCGAAGCGGCGGCCAAACACGGGGTGCCCATAGATTTGATCCTCGCCGTCATCCAGGCGGAATCAAACTTCCAACCTCGCGCGTTCTCAACTGATGATGAAGGAGAACCATTGGCGCTTGGTTTAATGCAACTCACACCTGCGACAGCGCGGCGGTTCGGCATCCCAGACGAAACGGAGATCTGGAACCCCACAAAGAACATTGATGCAGGAACACGCTACCTTGCTTGGTTGATCGACCGCTTAGACGGCGATTTTGAACATGCGATCGCGGCCTACAATGCAGGAGAAGGCAATATTGAGACCTATGGCGGCGTTCCTCCATTTCCAGAAACAGAGNACAGAGGCGTTCGTGGCACGCGTTGAGCGGCATTACGGCAAACCGCTTGATAAACCAGCCCCTCCGGCGCTGGAGGCCCTCATGCCAATCCATCAGAACGAGCGCGAATCGATGGACGTAGAAACCGGGTCAGAGATAGATCTTCTGGTTTTCGATGCGGCGGAGCAATTTGACCTATCAGGCGGGTCGCTGGGTCAGTGATGTCATCATTGTTGATCTCAGCTCCTTGCGACGCGCATCGTATTCGAGCATGTGTGGGAGCGTTTGTGCGTCATTGCGCGGGTGTGTATTCGATTCCGGCGCTTAAACAAAAAGCAAATCTGCCGAAGCGCTCAACCACGGAAGTTGATTTGATCGTATTGTTACGCAGCCTCGCTTTGATGCGAGCTTTGACCATGCATGCGCAATCAAATGCAATGAGTTTAGACGACTTGTTGGCCTTGCTCGATTTGGGCATCATCCCTGACAGGATCTATCGATTGGCCGCGTCAGAACCCGTGATGATCGTAAACACGATGCACGAAGAGCTACCTGCGAAGTTCGAAACCGATGCCGTGTCGAACTTGATTGATGAGTCTTGCCCATGCCTCACTCAAGACAAATGAGAATCCAAAAAACCTCTACACCAATGAAGTATTATTCTTAATTTGATAAAAATCCCTCAACATAAGAATCTACATTATCTAGATTCACGCAATTGGAGATTCTTTTAGAGATTCCTTGA